TGTGTGTGTGTGTGTGTGTGTGAAGCATGCGGACAAAAAGAGTTACTGCTCGGATTTAAGCCATACTGAAATAGATACATCACCCGTAAAGGGGAAATTTTTACAATTCATAAGTAGGAAATAATAAAACGCATGTTATAGAGTTAAAGAATATGGCTTCAATAGAAAATCTACAAATTTGACCCTTGAGTCGATTTTGGCCAATATCTCCGTTTTTGTGGATTGCGAGAAGTAACTCATTTTCTCAGCACGTCTCATATTATATATATGATCTTTGCCTCGTCCCTTTTAGGCCGAGAGATCCAGCAACGGTGGACTAATCTGAGACGCTGTTTTCTGTGGGAATTGCGGGAACAAAAGAAATCCAGGTCCGAACAAGCTGCAAAGAGGAGAAGGAAGTACATCTACTTTGACCAGCTTCTCTTTCTTTTGCCTACCATAGAGCAGAGAGGAACAGTGAGCAATTCTCAGCCCTATGAAGACGAAATTATTGCTGAACCGACGGAAACGACCGAACCACCAGGGGACGTGGCCAAAGAACCGCTTGCGTCCACATCAGCTGCATGTAACACGGCTCCCAAAACTTTCAAGAGGAAACATTCCTCCTCTGACACTTCTTATGAACAAAAACTATTGGATATTCTAAGAGAAAGAGCTGACAAGGTTGAAGAAATCGATGAAGATAAATCATTTCTTCTTAGCTTTCTGCCTGCCGTGAGACGTATGTCATCAGAGGCGAAGTTTAAAGCTAAATTGGAGGTCTTGAAAATCATGCACAAGTTCGAACTCAGTGATAGTTCATGACAATCCCCAAGTCCTGCCAGAGACACAGTTAATTCGATAACATGCAACTCCATGACAAGCTGTGGTTTCCAGCTAGATTTACCCATATGAAAGCTACTCAAAAGTTTCTCAAAATCCTGATTTTTTTTTACACCCAACAGACGCCATAACAATCCTTACTACGCACCCCTTGCTTCTAGCTCAGACTCTGATTTATTTAGTTTTATGAAAATAACGATACAATTTAGAGCCTCTGTAGTGACTGTTCTGGTTGTATTAAATGTGGATTTATTTATTTTTAATATAAGTTCAAGTTTTAGCAGAAAAATAATGTTGTGTTGGTATCATTACCCGGTAGTAAGGACATTGAGCTACAGTGTATTACGAATGAACTGTCATTAGATTAAATTTTGAAGGATTAAAGGCTTTAGGAAATGCAAGAAGCTAGTGGTTGAAAGAAAGAACGAAAGAATGGGAGGGTGGTGAAGAGAGAATAATTCTGATTCACTCTACGATGTTCAAATTTAATTGTTAGTAATATAAAAGTTTAATTAAATTTTTTTTTTTTCGAAATAAAATGCATGTAATTCTTCAACCGGTTCATTTAAATGCACTACATGTAGATCTAGCCTACATGTATTACTTTGTAGTGTGTTTTCGTAAAAGAAAGTGAAAGAAAAGGAGTCAAAAAAAAGAAGAGGAGTCTATTTTTAAGAGAGAGGAGAGAGAGAGAGAGAGAGAGAGAGAGAGAGAGAGAGAGAGAGACAGAGAGAGACAGAGAGAGACAGACAGACAGACAGACAGACAGACAGACAGACAGATAGACAGACAGATAGACAGACAGACAGAGAGGGAGGGGGGATGGGGGAGAAGCGATGGAATAGAAAGACATATTTCATTTCATATAAAATTAGTAGAGTGTAGAAGAAAAAAAATGATGAAAAAAAATTGTAAGGACACGATTTCTAAATTATGGCACTATAAACCAATAAAAGCAATCCATAATATGGTTGTAGATCTACACATTGTCCTGTAATTACCGAATCTCCACAGATGATCTTTCCCCCGGTGACACATTCTTCCTGAACCGAGTGCCTTGAAAAGTGATATCTGCTCCCACAAGATGTACATGTAGAAGGTTGTCAAAGCTTTCGATGCTCATTCTGTAGTCGCCGAAAAAGATTTTAGGGTCACGTCGGGGTCACCATAAAGCCTCTATGGAAATGATCCTTGAGAAATCTCTGGGCCATTAAAGGATGCACCCAATACTGTTTTTTCTTTCTCTTTTTTTCTGATGCGAAACAACAATAAAGCACTGACAAATGCAATCTCGATTTCATCCATCTTGAAAATGCAATCTAGGCCTAGATCTCTGCCTAGATCTAGTGCTGAAGCCCTCGATGAGGGCGCAGTGTGTAACGCAACAGTCCTGTCCTGGTGCCGTATCTGTTTTGAAACGAAAAATCCAGCGTAGGACAGGACAGGTTTGTTCCGGGACAGGACGGTCGTAGTGTGACATGAATCTAAGGCCGACGTACGGTACGTAGATCTAGATCTAGAGCTTTGAAATTAAAATGATAAGAGGTGACTGCGTTTCTCCAAATTTCGTCCATTTGGAAAATTATGCCAAACACAGACAGAAAAAAGGTGAAAGTTAGAAAGGGCTAATTGTATGCAGATAGGCCTACAGACATGTTGTAAGCCTTCACTTTTGGGAATGATAGTCGAACCTGCTCTAACACAGTAAGAGTCACCTGTAAAAGACAGTCACCTGTACAAACGGCTACATTCCAATTCCATTTCCTCCTTTGCTCTTTAAAACTTGTATAGTGGCACTGTGTAAAACATCCACCTGTCTAAGACAACCATTGTTTTCCTCCACTATAGGTGGCCGTAGTATTAGGCAGTTTTGATAGTGTAATATTATTAGACCTTTTATATTATATACACTGTATATTATTATAGTAAAAGGGGAGAAACTACCGTACTGTACTAAAAAATCCTGATCTTACGATCACTGATAACAGTAAACGTAAGTAGGCCTACAGATTCACATCCCTTCGTTCACGTGTGTCCTTTCACGCCCGCGTTGTATATCATCGTGCATTTTATAAAATGGAGTAGATCTAACTGCTGTTTTTTCTTCTTCTTTTTTTTTGTTTGTTTGATGCTTTTTGGGGAGGGGGTGTTTTAAAGGCGGGAGTGGGGAGGGGGTGATCAAAGAGATGCACAATAACGGGTCAATTCGTACAGGGAGATGAGCACGACGGACAGACAGAATCAAAAGAGGGAAAGAAAAGAAGGAGAACCTGCATGTGGCGTCCTCCAAGCACCCTTTTGAGTGTCTGAACGCAAAGTACCGCAGCATGATCTATGGTGAAAGTGAGTGAGTGAGTGAGTGAGTGAGAGAGAGAGAGAGAGAGAGAGAGAGAGAGAGAGAGAGAG